TTGAACCTCGTCGAACAAAAATAATTAGTTATTCACCCCAAAAGTAATTAGTTTCCACGTGATTCCAATATTACTTTCTAGATTACTAGGTAATGAAAATTTTGCTGGGATGCTGTGCCGTCCTATTTATACTATAAAATTGCGTTGAATTTGATCAGTAATTGAATTAGCACTTACGCGCAAACTGTCAAGTTTTGACAGGATCACACCACGCGTCAGAGTGGTCTAGCTTGCAGCAATGTCTGGATTTAGATAGTTAAGCAAGTTGTAGGTTAATCAATACCTCCCGACATCTAGGGCAGATGATAACCGTTTCCTTCTTATCTCTGTCATTGAAACTGTGACAAAATTCGTTAAAGGGAAAGACGACTTGTATGTATGTATATCTAACATGCAGTGTCCAGTTATTTCTGCCAGAAACTTCGATATATCCCATCTATCTTAGGTTATATGTTTCCTAGAGCGGTTCTCATTGAAAAAAGACGATATTATCTTGGTCCCTCTACAAGTGTCTTTTACTTTTGAGGATTAAACCTTTTGATACGAACAATATCTAATCTAAAATCTATATGCGTAAGAACCAAAACTAATATAATGTCAGACTGGCGATCCAGCATTGACAGATCATTCATGCATTGTCTGGCCACTAGGGAAGTGATAATAGAAAAGAGAAGTGCAATCTGGTTAACGATAAAAGTATCTATGTATATTGCCATATATATTGAAGTAATATTGTACCCTTAAGAACACTACAGGTTTTGGAAAGAAAAACATAGTGTTATTAAATCCCTACACAACGACTATGTACTCTCAAATACCTCAAGCGAGAACCTACACATCAATGTCCATCAAAAATCTTTTTAGCATTTGCGCACATCAGAAAGAGTACATAATAGCACCCAAATATTCAATAAATGGATTCGTTTTACGACTTAATATTGTTCGTATGGACTTTGTATATAACACAATACTTATTCATACTCGTTTGAATATACCAAATATATAGAAAATTAACCAAAACAATGGATTCATAACAAACTTGTTGTTGCTATTCCAACTACTACTACTATTACTGCTGCCATTTCAGTTTGAACCACCATTTACCAACAAAGTTGAGATACAAACAAAACGTACAAGTATCTATAAGATGGATGAATGAACGAACGATGAACGGATGGATGGATGGTTGTAGTTGTATCATCCATATTGTGAGTGTGGCCAAGTTGACAGGTGATTGATTGACAGATTGTGTTTTTTTCTTTTTTTTCGTTTTGTTCGCCTGAAACCATACAAATTCACCAAAAACAACAACGATGAAGGGGAATAAATTCAAAAACATTTCGAATGAAATAGAAAATAAAGGGATTTTGAATAAAATGTTATTCCATTTTATGTGAATGAGGAGCACAACCGTAGTTTTTGAATTGGGATTAAAGTAGAGTATGATGATTTTAGTTGTGTTTAGTTTTGATAATACATGAGGATTTTATCTTGTATATGATTATGGTTATTTCCTTTGGCTATATATACATAGTTTATGTTGGCCAAAATCTTCTCCAATATATTTTATATGGAAGATTATATAAAATATATATTATATTCGAGTATCGATTCTAAAAAATATAATTTCAGATTCGTTATATATACACATATCTAACAGTCCATAAAATATTCAGCCCGAAAAGTCTACTACCGAACAAATGTTCACATTACGACAGGTTCTAAAAAGTATCAAGGAAAAGCAAATTGATATCAACTTATCGACGTGATTTCTAAACAAGGCTATAATCAATCAGGTGACCTTTTTTGTATACTACTGGTATATTTAATCGGACTGGTATATTTAATCGGACTGGTATATTTAATCGGGGGGGGGTGTTGTCTTGGAGCCACCATATGAATAAAATAGAAAAATTCGTATATCTGAGAAACTATTAGAGCTAGAAACTTTAAATTTTACTTGAAGAACTTTGACATTCATCTGAACATTTAGAGTATAACGGGTGGACTTCCAATGGGGTACTTGGTACCTCCCAAAATACAAAATTTCGTTTAACTGGGAAACTAATAGCACTAGATTCTTCAAATTTTGAACAAATTATTTTAATATTCAACTGAATATTTTGGAGGAAAAAGGGCGGACTTTCATCCGGGGAGCTTGAAGCCCCCACATGAATTAAATTCGTATATCTGAGAAACTATTAGCGCTATAATTTTTAAATTTTACATGAAGAACTTTGACATTCATGTGAACATTTAGAGAATAACGGGCGGACTTTCAATGGGGGGCTTGGCACCACATATATGAATTAAATACAAATTTTTCATCTATATATATAAAAATGAAAGTGTGTTTGTATGTATGTTTGTTTGGACTTTATAGACTGCTAAACTGCTGGACCAATTTTCCTGAAATTTTCACAGTTTCTTCCTGTATGTCTGGAAGGAACTATAGGCTACTTATTATGTTGAAATTTCAAGTGGGCGACGTTCCACGCCCATATTAAGAAAATATTAAATTAGTATATCTGAGATAATATAACAGCTAGAGTCTTCAAATTTTGTCGGAGCAACTTTAGTATCAATATAATTATTTAAGACAAAATGTGGGCGGAATAGCATTAGGGGGCGTGGCACCTCCCATATAAATTAAATACAAAAATTCGTTTATCTTGGAAACTATTACAGTTAGAATATTAAACATTTGCACGAGTAACTTTAAAATCCATGTAAACATTTTGGGAAATAAATTGGCGGACTTCCCATGAGGGGAGCAGCACCTCCCATATTAATACAATACAAAGATTAGTTTATCTGGGAAACTAATTGAACTAAATTCTTCAAATTTTGCACTAAGAACTTAAATATTCATCTGAACATTTTGGAGAAAAAAGAGCGGACTTTCGTCATGAGGGGCTTGGAGCCCCATATAAATTAAATAGAAAAATTCGTATATCTGAGAAACTATTAGAGCTAGAATCTTCAAATTTTAATTGAAGAACTTTGACATTCATGTGAACATTCAGAGAATAATGGGCGGACTTTCAATCGGGTAGCTTGGCACCTCACATATGAATTAAATACAAAATTTCGCTTATCATATACTAATAGAACAAAATTCTTCAAATTTAGCAAGAAGAACTTTATTAGACATATGAACATTTTGAAGAAAAAAAGGCGGACTTTCATTTGGGGGTTGTGAGTTCCCATATGAATTAAATAGAAAAATTCGTATATCTGAGAAACTATTAGAGCTAGAATCTTCAAATTCTACATGAAGATCGTTGACATGCATGTGAACATTTAGAGAATAACGGACTTTCAATGGGGCCTTGGCCTTGGGGCCCCCTATATGAATTAAATACAAAATTTCGTATATCTGGGAAAATATTAGATTTTTTTTTATAAATTTGTCATCGATTACATTAACATCTTAATTAACGTTAGAATCTTCAAAATTATTAAGAAGATTTTTTATTTATATTGCTTTTAGGGTAGCAAAGCGCACTGGGTATAGCTAGTATATAATAAATGTGAGCTTGTATCCTAATTAGATAGCGTAAACCGTATTTAGGGTACAATCATAAATGGAAAACCCTTCAGACGGCAGTTTCAAAACTCCAGTTCCAAACTTTTACCAATTTAGTTATACAATATTTAAAATTTTGTAAAAATATCCATGTGACTTATGGACAATAAAGAAGGAAATAAAATAGTAATGAAATTTGGTCGATATCTCTCACATATTAGCGGTACCTGCGAATTGAATTCTGAGGATTTCGGAGAAAAATATTTTTTGCAAAACGGGTTTTAATCCTTACTGTTATTCATTTTATATAAAACTTTTTCAGATAAAACGATTTTAGATAATATGTGTCATATGTATATCTGAAGTTTTAGTAAAATCGAATAATGTTAACCCATAAACTGTGAAGGTCAAACTCAAGCTATGCAATATTGAGAAATCCTCTGGAAACCATAGTGAAATATTATTTTGTTTTCGACCAATTTAAATGAAACTTAGGATAAATATATAGTGAAGATCCGTTTTTATGATGACACCGAAAAAATTAAAATTAACCTTTAAACGTAAATATATTTTTATAATTATATAAAATGTCTGTAATATATGAACAAAATATTCGATCTCATTTTGCAAGGGTAATAGAAAAAAAAACAGATATCATATTCGGTTTCAGCAATGCATTAAAATTAGTCGAATTGGTTTCAAAAGTTTTCACAAACCTTTATTTCGTTGGCCTGTGTAATCAATTGTTCAGTAACGTGACTCTTTTATATTCATACGTCATAGATAATATTCCATGGGAGTTTTTATTTCCCAAAAACATTCCATTTATTAATGATTTACGTTTTAGCGTTTTTCATTAACACTGAAATCATTAATACGGCAACTCTAAACAAATGCGCATTGTTTATTTTTGAGATTTTAATGCTCTTTCAATAATTTGCTCTCTTTTAAACCAATCATGTTGTTTATTAGTGCTTAAAACAATTGTTGGACGTTTTATAATCGCTAAAAGAATTTGTATTTGATAAGATATTTTACAGATAATAATTTTATTCATTGTTTGTTGGGTGCATTAAGTATTCAAATATAAATCATAAAATATGATTAAAACAATATTTAAATAGTTAAAAAAGATATTTAAATCATTTAAAAAACAAGTTTTTATATGTCATTTACGATTTGGTGTTTTTCATTTCTAAAAGTTGGCCACACTATTACAGTTGTTGCTTGAATTTTGTATACAAAGCACAGCTGTTCGCACACAGCAGCTGATAAGCGTACATACAAACAAATTTGTGGCAGACAACACAATGTTGTGTTAAAATTATTAAATTAATATAAAGTTTAAAATAAAACACTAAAGTTCATAAAATGTACAATATTAAACTTAACACAAAGTTCATAAATATAAAACTATAACGTTTCTTTTCAAATATAAACAATTAAACAAATAATTTGTTAAACAACTTACCTCTGACAGCCGGCAGAACAGCGTCATTTAGTATTTTGCTCGGAAAACTAATTTTATAACTTTATTAGCACTTATACATTATTCTTTTTATTAAAAATGTTTAATTTTCTTATTAAAACACTTTATTTAATTAAATAAATCTTTAATTATTAATAATTTCACTTTATTTCCAAAGCACACTTTTGTTTAACAACCGTACTTGTATAAAACTAAACTGCTGCTTCTTGTTGTTATCGACAGCTGTTTTTCTGAATTCGTCTCTTTTGAGCAAAAGTATATTTTTTGTTAAGAGAAAAATACTGGTTTTTCTCTTTATTTTTTTTTTTAATATTTTTCTCTTGTTTTTTTTTTGTTTTCTGAGTAAAATAGTGGTTTTGCGTGTGTTTGTTTTTAACGGAAATTACTGTTTAGTTTTACAATTTAATTAGTGTCAACAAAAATTTATTAACGCTTAAATCTTGAAATGATTAAATAAAATTTTAATTTTGTTTACTAAACTTAATGTTAAATTGCAATACATAGGTATAACTTTAATACAAAAATCCTGATTTCAGTACAATTTGTACAAAAGCTAAACTTTTTTTCGAAATGGGTCTTAAGAATTTCCTAATTTTGTGCTAATTAGTGCATTATTAGGGGTACATTAACAGTCTTTGATGGACCAAAGAAAACGCCAAAATATTTATAAATAACTGTGTAAGTTTATTTATTTGTTTGTGCCGATTTCCTTAAAATTTGGAAAATAGATGGATCGTCAATAGGCTATATTACTTCACGAAAGTAGAATCAGAAGGGGGAAAACTAACATAATTTTGGTATTAAATACTTATTATTGTCTGTTAGAGCGAAAATACACATATTCTATAGCCTTCTTAAGTATCAGAAATATTTATTAGTAAAGTTCAGTTAATTTTTTTTTCTTGGACCAGCACTCAAGGTATGACCCCTACTAATGCAGTGCATTGTGCTGGAACTAGGAAAATAGGTTGTGGAAGGGAGCAGTGTTTGTGGACATTTGATTTTAACCATTTCACATCGAAAGAGGCGGGGAATACTTCTGCAGGAAGTTTGTTACACATACTAACAGTGAAGAATGAAGTTTCCCTGTAATGTGTTGTGCGGTTGGTCCACTGGCCAATCGACCACAAATGGCTGTGTTCTAGATGAGAGTCGTGTGCAGCGTAAAAATATACGGGTATCGGGAAGGAGTTTTCTAATTACAGTGTAATACATTCCATTATAGTATCGCTAGAACTCTGTAATATACTACAAAAATAGACTACGAAGCTCCAGTCCATACATGAGAGTTGTATTCCATTTTCGGTTGGATATGAGTTTCAAAAGACCGAAACACTTGAATACTTCTTTCGAAACTTGAAGAAATGTTTTTAGTCCAACGGACAACTCTCTGTATTTGCATGCCCATAACATCAAGAGTTTCCGATTCCCTAGTATTAACACCATCCATAAATATAGATGGACCAACATTATCTACCATGCGTTTATGTGTTATAAAACTAAGTTGAGATTTGCGGGCGTTAAAATTGACTTTGTTAACTCGACCTCATCAGAGATTTTTAATCATGTCATGAATGAGCTATTGATTTATGTATATTGCGCCTCATTGCCCCAATCTCTAGACGGCTTGGCCTATAATTGAACGAATAAGAAATGAAGGTCATTTATGAAGATAAGAAATGGAGTAGGGGATCTTTGAGAAAGCTCAAAATAAATCGAAGTTATTACCGACATCAAATGCAATTAGTTTTGATACACGTGCACCATGACACACTATCAAACGCCTTAGAGAAATCTAGAGCTACCACTTTACTTTTGCTAAAATGACATCAAATCTCCGAAAGCAGAGTGTATATTTTCTATTATCTGGAATTTTATATTCTACGAAATTCTCAAAATTCACATCACAGGTACGCTAATCTGTCAGAGATATCGGCCTAATATCTTTACTATTTGATTTCCTTCTTTATTGTCCATAAGTCACATGGTGATTTCCTGGAGTTTTGAAACTGCCGTCTGAAGGGTTTCCCATTTCTCAATATACACAAAATACGACTTAAGTCTAGACGGTCAATATTAAAATTACCAATTGATACCCTCCACCACCATCAGTGATGTTAAGTTTGTCATTCCGTGTGTAACACCAAGAAATATTCATGTGATACCCAACAAAGTATATACATATGTATATTACGGGTTTTTATAAATTATGAGTCGATTTAGTCATGTCTGTATGTCTGTTTAAAACACGCTCACGTTAACCAGGAATATAAGGTTCATTTCGAAAAATTACTTTAACGCACATATTTCTTTAACTAATAAAGATACCGGGATATAATTCCATGCACATATCTTTTGTGTAAATAATTGGTCTTAGCTCCTATATAAGGTTCAGTTGTAAAAATCACTTAAATGCACTATCTAATTAAGAAATAAAGTTAATGAATTAATATTCAACAGAAATTTGTTCTGCGTATATATAAATTACTCTGCCAATTTTTTTCCTGATTGGTCCAAAATTGGTCATACCCACCATATAGGGTCCACTTCTTAAAATTACTTAAACGCACATATTTTAAAAACAAAAACTTTGTTTTTAAATAACGATATCAGTGTATAATTCGACAGGAATATGATTTGCGTATATATAATTCTCCGATTTTTACGGATCAGTCCACAATTGTTTACATCTTCCATAAAAGTTCCATAAATATGTTATAGATCTGATCAAAATTACTTCCATATGAAATTGTTATACATTTGTTATACTAATTAGAATTCCTGGCTGTGGGAGGTAACCAAGGATGGTTTTCGATAGAATAGGGACTAATGGACTGATCAAACTTGGTGGCAAGACAAAGCTGATCTAATTTGGATGGGTCCAACGGGAGCGGGCACTTGTGGCCCCAATTTCCTCTTAGACACTATCCTTCAATCTTTCAAGTAGAAATATATACCATCTTTATATGTTCTAGAGAGTGTATTAAGAGAAGTAGTTTTATAATGTCGGATAGCCAAGCATCACTCCAGACCTTATTGCCATGCGAGGTAAGGTCTGGTGTTGTAATGAACTGTGTAATGGACTGCTTGACTTCACTCAATGAGTTAGGTAAACACAACAAGCAGACTTTGTGTTGTATACCTGGCCTAGCAAATATGGGCGCTGGTCGCCAACTAATCGGCCCTGAGCCCTTCTTTTGCATTCCCCGAGGATACACCAAAACGAAATGAGACTCTTGGGTGAAATCTGAATTAATTCTCCATAGGGAAGCAATACCAGGGTTCAGACAGACAAAACGTTTCATTACACTGTCAAAGGGAAAATACCAAAAGCTACTATTGCTCGATAAAAGCGATCTCAGAGTACTAACGGAATTACTTACTGGACATTGTGGTCTCAGATACCATCAATTCATTCTAGCCAGATTCTGTGATCTACAAGAGGAAACCTCAGAACATATCTTATGTAACTGCCCAACATTAGGGTCTCCAGTTAAGATCTTGGGTGCTGTCATGGTAACCCCAAAAGACATCTTCAACCTCTCATCAACTAAACCAGCTACCTTTGTGCGTGAACTAAAACATTTATGGTGAATCAATGGGCTGCATAAAAGATCCACACATAAGTCGCAGTGCTTTGTGCCCCTTCAATCTAATCTATACTAAGTGATTTCTAAATTATGCGAGGGTTGTTAATACCTAATTGTATTTATATCTTTAGGTGCACAATGCTATCGTTCAAGTTTAGGATCAGAAATGCGGCCCTAGTAGTGATATGCATAAATGTTTCAGAAACAGTTTTTCTCGACTTTAACAGTTAACCATTAAACACTTTATAGCATGTAATGAACACATTACAGAATGGCTTTTTTTCTTTTTTTGAACAAAGAAAGAAGTTACAACTTAATTTTCATTTATATTCATATTAAAATATGCATAAAAAAGATATAAAAATAAACTAATACAATCTTTAAATTTAGTTACAAATCTTGGAATTTCTTGCGTTTTTTTTTTTTATAAATTTATATTTTATACAATTTGGCCTCAAGAAGTGATGACGGAAGACAAGACCAAGTCAAAAGTGTATTTACAAAGTAGCTAGAAAGGTATAGGATAAATTATAAAGTATATTTTACACTTAGCTGTAGGAAAGCGAGGGAACATTTTAAACTTGCTAAGTTACACTCATGACACAGATTTTTTAGGTCTAGGTGTAGTTATGGTAAAAAAACCTCAAGTAGTTTTCAAAAAAACATTTAACATCGCGTGAATGATTTTGTTAATAATATGTATCTTTATAAAGAAATCTTACACAATTTAATATCACAAAGAGCGAGAGGGTAGAATAAATCCAACAGAAAGTACCTAAAGGCAAAAAAGGAACATTTGTTAAAATAATGCTTGGCTTATTTTTTAGTATAAACTACTATAATACTTGGTCATTGGCTAAAATAAAGTTTAAAAAAATTCAGTGAAGAGAGAAAAAAAAGCCTAAACAAAGTGATAATTTTGAGATAAATTACAATATACACATTTGTTCGATGTTGATTTAATAACAGGTCAGTCAGCGAAATACACGCTCGCTCGCTGGCTCACATCCACGAATAAGAATTCCTGGGATATCAAAGCCCCCTTTTGTTTTGTATTTGTTGTACATGCCAAAATAAAATAGATGAGATGACTGTGTCTTAAGTCGAGGTATTGAATAGCAGACAACGACAACAGCAAAACAATCTTGAAGCTTAGATATTTAAGCAATGATAAGATTGTATGTTTGCTGGTCTTCTTTTAACATCCCCTCTTCCATCACCAACTTGCGATTTTAACAACACAATAACACTACAAATCTTATAAAACGTACTTTGGTGGGTTGTCCTGGAATACCTAAAACATATTGATTTATAACCGCCGAGCATTGACATGACAAAAAACTACAGACAAACGACTACTTTAATCATAACATACATACCATATACAAAACTGATAATTCCATTTCATGGCACTTCAAACTCCTGGCAATTAGCCACAATGTTTGGTTATAGATAGAAGCACTACACTTGATTATCCTCCAGCCAACAATTAAATCAAAAAGCATTAACATTTTAGTTTGAGCGTAAAACTATGATTTTCTTCATATTTTTTATTCCATCTTTCTTTAGAGGCTTCTTCTCCTAAAAGAACTAACAAACGAAAACTTGTCTAAAGT